GCCGCTTTGCAAATGAAAGGGAAGAGATGTGATTTATCGTGACGGTTTTCGCTCCAGGTTTCTGGGACCAGTGTTTCCTAGTCCCCCACTGTTGCATCTGACACCACATCCCCATGGCCACATTCAGTGGGTGGCTAATACACTGCTACAGAGGGCAGGGTTTCTGTCAGGGGACTTTAAAAATGAGTTAAGGAAATTGCAGTATATTTGCAAAACCTTCGCAATAATCTTTCTGAAGTTCAGAATTTCCCCTGCGGTGGAAGATTAATTAAAAGAGTTAGCTTTATTTTAAGCAGACCTGTATCTCTCTTATCATGCTGCCACCCCTTGGCCTTGTAAAGCTTCCCAACCCCTTTGTGGAACCCACAGAGCCTCTTTTTTCCCCTACCTTGACTTCTATGAACACTTTGAACTTATACAGCTCAAAAATACTTTGGGCAGATCCAGATATCAGAGGATTTCTCTGCAATGTACAAATATCCATGTGGAAGATAAATTTAAAAAAACCCAGCAGTCATCTAGCACCTCCTCCGCTGTCACTATCCTGTACTCCATAGCTATTCAGAACTTCCTGCTTGAGGGAAAGAAGAATCACGATTAGCTGTGAGCAGTATAGGGCTTGTGACGCACATTTGAGCTGTTCTGATTCTGGCCAGTAAGATACACATAGACACAGGGCCGTACCTAGCCATTTTGGTGCTCTATGCATCCCCCCCGCGGGGGAGCTGCGGGGCGCCCCAGACCTCTGCGGGGGACAAGGGGGAACCACTCCCCAGCATGAGCCAGTGGAGCGGGCTGGGGCCAGGTCGCTCCACTTCTTGCCACTCGGTGAATGCAGGGCATCCAGGCCCAACCTCGCACTCATGGGGCAGTGGGAAGTGGAGTGACCTGGCCCCAGCCTGCTTCGCTCTGCTCCCCTGACTCCCAGCCTTGGGGGTCAGGGGAGAACCGCTCCCAAGCACTTGCTGACGGCACGGAGGAGTGGAGCAGGCTGGGGCTGGGTCACTGCACCTACCACCGGCGGTGAGTGCAGGCCCGACCCTTGCTGAAGTCCTCAGGGGAGTGGGGGCAGGGCTGGAGCAGGGGCAGGGGCTTTGGAGAAGAGGTGGAGTGGGGGTGGGGCTGGGGCAGAGCAGGGGTGGTAAAAGGCAGGGCTGGGGCGGAGCAGAGGCAGGGGCCATGGGGAAGAGGCGGAGCAAGGGATGGAGCAGAACGCAGCTTCGTACTTTGCATATGGGTAGGGACGGCCCTGCATAGACACTAGACAGCTAGTGACGCTATTCACATACATATTCACATATTTTAGAGTTGGGTAGATGGAGGTACAGAGAAAAGTTAATTGGCTTGGCCAAAGCCACATAGTCAGCTGTGACCAAAAAGAACCTAGGAAGCTTGACTCCGACGGCTTTGTTCTAAAACCAATAAAACCATTCATCCCTGCAGCAGAGCTGAGCTTGGCCTCAATAAGGAGGTGGGGGCAAAACTGGCTTTATGTCACCTTACAGCTCCCTTCTCCTGGGCTGATCAAGGGCTGCTTCAGCACCCAATGCAGTTAAAGCAGCCAGACATCTGCCCCACCTTACACTCAATTACCCACAGTCCCAAAAGGCCATTGAGGTGGCTGGGAACACCTAGAGCACAGCAGCACTTTGGCTGTGTCTCCATGCCACCAGAAATGCCCCCAGATTCTCTGCCTGTACCAGGGCTCCTGTTAGGAGCAACATGGAGCCAATACACCAGTGAGGGAAGAGTGGAGATCAAGGCTCAATTCCTAACTCTGCCACAAACCTCCGATGTGATCTTGGGCAAGTCGGTTAATAGCTGGGTGCATCAATTTCCCATCTGTAAAATGGGGATAACACTTATGTTCTCCCTCCCTTTATATTTCTTATCTATTAAGACTGTGAGCTCTTTTGAGTAGGGACTGTTTCCTTCTACATATATATACAGCTCCTAGCACAACAGGGCACTAATCTCAGCTGAAACCTCTAGGAGCTACTGGAATGAAAATATTAAACAACAACCATCTCCAGAGCCAGATCCACTGGCAAAAAAGGGCCATAAGACATGGTGAATTGGGACTACAGACTATTTTGTCTCAAACCTTCCTGGAAGATTCTAAAACTTATTGGAAGTCATGAGTTGATGCTCTTGCAGATAAACAGAACAAGCAAGACTATCTGAATGCACAGGAGAAGATGTTGGAGAAATACATATTGTCAGAAGTAAAATCTGTTTTTTCTGCCTGAATCGGTCTAATTTGGGACAGGTACTGTCCCTAATACAGCACCTAACACAGTGGGATTAGGTCCATGACTAGGGGTCCTAGGTGCTATGATAATGCAAAGAAATAATAATAATTTACTTCTTCAGTGTGGTTTCTGCCTACAGGTTATACCTATAGAAATAAATATAACAATACGTGGTGCCAAATCATTACATCTCAAAGGCCCTGTATTAGAGCCCTCCCTCCTACAAGGACAAACAGCTGTGATTCTCTCAAGAGCTCAGTTTATTACAATAAATAATAATAATAAATAATGACTTATATAGTGCCTTTGATCCAAGATTGTCAAAGTACTTTACACACAGATTCAGAAATTATGTGCAATATAATATTCAATTTACCGATCACTGGAGTGGGCTGGAAAGTGCCAGCCCTTTAACGGTGCTCAGCAGCTCTACACAACAGTTTAGAATACCTTACCCACATAAAACAACATGGGGATTTCAAGTAGGTGGAATGTATAATCATTTTAAGGGGAACCTGGCCAGAACCGAATCCTGGAGCTAACAGTCCTCCTAACTGTGAAAAATGCCACAAGGTCTTTAATTACCACGGGTGGTTAGGGTTTTTGTTTTAAGTCTCATTGGAAAGCCAGTATCTCCAGCAACACAGTTCTCCACTACCTGTCTGAGGGATTGGTACCTGTGGCAGATTACCACAAAGGCCCACAGGACCCAGGCCTAGGGGCTCCTGCCACTTTGGGGCCTCCAGAAAAATCTCCCCCTGCTGTGGTCCTGGAGGAGTTCCTGTGGCAGGGGCACAGAGATTATCCTGTCTCTGGGCTGCAGCATGGGGGAGGGGCAGAAAGGAGTGGGGGGGGGGGGAAGGAAGAGACAGAATGGGGTGGGGCCATGGGAAGGGCCATAGGTGGGAAGGGCAGAACAGGGGCAGGAGTACAGGCAGAAGGGGTGGGGCGGGCCATGGTTCTGGCACTGTGGCCCCCCCACTTGCTCCAGCCCAGGGCTCCAGGAGACCTTAATCTACCTCTGACAGGTACAGTAGTGGGTCAGAGGGAAGAGTGCTACATTCTGAATCACTATCCCCATTTTATAGTCTATATGGTTTATGGCACCATTCTATTACTGACAGGGTTGCCAACTTTCTAATCGCACAAAACCCAACACCTTTGCCCCTGAGGCCTTGCCCCTTCCCTGTGGGCCCTCCCCCTTCTCACTCCATCCCCCCTCTCTCTATGGCTTGCTCTCTCCCACCCTCACTCATTTTCACCAGGCTGGGGCAGGGGGTTAGGGTGTGGAGAGAAGGAGGAGGGCTCCGGCTGGGGGTGCGGGCTCCGGGGTGGGGCCGGGCATAAGGGGTTTGGGGTGCAGGAGGGGGCTCTGGGCTGGGGCTGAGGGGTTCTGAGCTATGGCAGGGGGGTGGGGTGTGGACTTCAGGAGGGAGTTTGGGTGCAGGAGGGAGCTCAGGACTGGGGCAGGGAGGTAGGGGTGCAGGAAGGGGTGCAGGCTCCTGGTGGAGCTCACCTCAGGCAGGTCCAACAAGCAGCGACATGTCGCTCAGCTCCTAGGTAGAAGTGCAGCTAGGCAACTTTGTGCACTGCCTTCACCTGCAGGCGTCACCCCTACAGCTCCCATTGGCCACGGTTCCCAGCCAATGGGAGCTGCGGAGCTGGCGCTCAGGGCAGGGACAGCACACGGAGGCTCCCTGGCCATCCCTTTGCCTAGGAGCTGACTCAGTTGAGGGACATATTGCTGCTTCCGTGAGCTGCCAGGTAGGGAGCCTGCCAGCTCCGTGCCAAACAGCCTTTTAACGTCCCGGTCAGCGGTGCTGACCAGAGCCGTCAGGTTCCCTTTTTGACCGGGCGTTCCAGTAAAAAACCAGACACCTGGCAACCCTAATTATTGAAGCATAGGCATGGAAGGCCAGGATTGAGTCATTAAGATAGCAGATGTGATAGTTGATTAAGGAAGTCCTGCCTGCCTCCCCTATATGTGAAATGAAAACAAAATGCAGGGAAGATGGAAGTGACATTCTAAATAAAGTTAGCAAGGAGGAAGCAAGTAAGGTGAAATGTAAGTGAGCTTCAAAGGGATTAGATTTTTATGCGTAAATGTCAGTAAACGTTGATTTCACTGAACACAGAAACAGGTGGGAAAAATATTTCCACTGATAATAATAAAAAATTACTAATTGCCAAAGAAAGAAAAATGCTGCTTGAGAACTTATTAGAGTTTGATTTAAAGACATTTGCGTTGTATATTATGACTTGTGATGTTGACAATTTGTGGTTTAAGAGTGAGAAAGCTTTAACTTTTTGAATCTCGGCGTCTACTGTCAGTAGAATATTATTGTTTGAGCCTCCCATTGTCTGACTCCCTGTAATTTCGCACAGCTGTGAACATTTAAATTGATAAAACAGAAAAAATGCTTACAAATAAACATTGATATTATAGGTCAAAACTATGAAAAAATAAAAAGCGAATTCTGCCAAACCTTGACGAAAGGAATCTTGCAGGACCCTCTAACACAGTAACCAGGAGATCAACACCTAAGTTGACAAGAACTGAAAATCTGTTTAGTTTATTACTGAAATTACAGAATTTCTTTATCGTTAACATTGGCTTCTGTGGATATGGAAATGTGTCTAAGTGGGGGAGGGGGGGTAAGATACGGTGAATATTACTTTTGACAACTAAGTCCAGAATTTTCACTTAACCTGCTGCATAAAATTTACTCTACATTTCCCCCAAATTAATCCTCAGCCATAACTGACAAATTAGGACAGGCAGGATTCAGGGAAGGAAATTAAATGAGAAAACTTGAGAGAGTGGGTTTGAGTTGGTTCTCATCAGAACACCAGCCTTACATTTTCAGTAAGTCACAAGGTATAGCCTAAAGACTCTTGCCTCCCAGATAATCACATCATAACCCTATTGAAACTATGATAGGTCTTTCTAAACTGCAAATTAGCTTAATCAGTTCTGATCCTGGGAAATTACCAATGTTAAAATGTTTTGAAAGTGAGATAGTCACAAAGAACTCTTTGAGCCTCCTTCCCTAATCTTGCATGCCAGCCAACCATCCTTTCTTTATTCCCATCTGTCATAAATATAAAGGGAAGGGTAAACACCTTTAAAATCCTTCCTGGCCAGAGGAAAAACGCTTTCACCTGTAAAGGGTTAAGAAGCTAGGATAACCTCGCTAGCACCTGACCAAAATGACCAATGAGGAGACAAGATATTTTCAAAGAAGGAGGGGGGAGAAACAAAGGCTCTCTCTGTCTGTGTGATGCTTTTGCTGGGAACAGAAAAGGAATGGAGTCTTAGAACTTAGTAAGTAATCTAGCTAGGTATGCGTTAGAGTCTGTTTTGTTTAAATGGCTGATGTATATTCCTGTTTGTGTCTTTTTGTAACTTAAGGTTTTGCCTAGAGAGATTCTCTATGTTTTGAATCTGATTACCCTGTAAGGTATTTACCATCCTGATTTTACAGAGGTAATTCTTTTACTTTTTTCTTCAATTAAAATTCTTCTTTTAAGAACCTGATTGCTTTTTCATTGTTCTTAAGATCCAAGGGTTTGGGTCTGTGTTCACCTATGCAAATTGGTGAGGACTTTTATCAAGCCTTCCCCAGGAAAGGGGGTGTAGGGTTTGGGGAGTATTTTGGGGGGAAAGACTTTTCCAAGCGGGCTCTTTCCCTGTTATATATCTGTTAGACGCTTGGTGGTGGCAGCAATAAAGTCCAAGGACAAAAGGTAAAATAGTCTGTACCTTGGGGAAGTTTTAACCTAAGCTGGTAAAAATAAGCTTAGGAGGTTTTCATGCAGGTCCCCACATCTGTACCCTAGAATTCAGAGTTGGGAAGGAACCTTGACACCATCCCTCCTTTAAAACAGGGCCCTGTGTACTCCACCATTCTCTGACTGCAGAATTTGCTGCAAAAGCCACCCCTTGCCTCCGACTTCTGCTCCAGAATCTAAGCTTTCATCATCATAGCTTCTCACTCCCAAACCACAGCCAGGACCTGGTGATGTCACTTACCTCAAATAGTTTCTAGAGAGCAGAGGATGTTGCCAGGGAGTACTGCACCAGGCAGTATTCAAGTGTCTGCTAAGGCTCTCCACATTCATATTTGGGGGTCGTTCTTTAGTTTCCACTTGGTTATATTGTCAACAGTCTTCGTCACCCCAGCTCTCACTTGATTTAGAGTACACCTGTGTTTTATTTCGATGTCAGTGCCCAGAGGGAGTTGTTCTAGTGGAATTAGGTTCTCCCAGGCTTTCATGTAGTGGGGAGGTGGAATTAAGTTTCTAACGCTTGTGGCTATAAAAAAATCATCCCAGTGTAACGTCATGCAGTGATGTCTGCCTAAGGCCTTATTCTACACTGAAGATCTGCTCCAATATCCTGAAACAGTGAAAACCCCTAATATGGATTAGGAGCAAACCACTAAAGCCATGATTTGCCCCAGTGGAGTTTACTGAAGTTTCAGGCGTTTGTATGCTCCATTGGTGGAAATAGTGGCTTTGCCTTGTCTGCGCCAGGGATTTGCCCTAGAAAAGCTTCATTGACAGCTGACATCAGGGCAAACCCCCAACGTCAACAAGGCCCCATTCTGCAAACAACCTGAAGCAGTCACTCAGTGGGTGGTATGACCCGCCCCATTCATCTCAAAGGGGTCTTAACTTTGAAATGATGCACATTTCATTTACAACATCCTTGACTATTTCCCCACCGATGACTTTAGCATCCAGTTAATGTGCTTACCACAAGCCCAAAGTGCTTCCCACATCTCCTGAGGGGCTAAAAGCCCTCGCAATATCCTTCCCAACTGCAAAAAACCTCCAGCTGCTTCCTAATCATACCTAGGATGTGCTCATACATTTTCAGTACAAAATTCTACAACGCACTGAACATTAACAAATTAAAAATAAAATTAATAGAATCCATAGCAAAGGGGGTACTGCAGTGAGTGCATCACTCCTTTTCTGATTTAATTCAATGAAGGCAGATATCCTTTAATCTGAAGCTGCTGTGCAATGAAGTGCCACTCTGAAGCACAGCGGAATTTCATCGATTCATACATTTTAAGGTCAGAAAGGACCACTGTGATCATCTAGTCTGATCTTCTGTATAACACAGGCCATAGAATCCCAGACAATAATTCCTGCATCAAGCCCATAACTTCTGGCTCTGCGGATATGGGGAAAGAGGTGGACATGATATATCTTGACTTTAGCAAAGCTTTTGATACGGTCTCTCACAGTATTCTTGCCAGCAAGTTAAAGTAGTATGGATTGGATGAATGGACTATAAGGTGGATAGAAAGCTGGCTAGATCATCAGGCTTAATGGGTAGTGATCAACAGTTTGCTGTCTAGTTGGCAGCTGATATCAAGCGGAGTGCCGCAGGATCGGTCCTGAGGCTGGTTTTGTTCAACATCTTCATTAATGATCTGGATAAGGGGATAGATTGAATCCTCAGCAAGTTCGCAGATGACACTAAGCTGTGGGGGAGAGGTAGATATGCTGGAGGGTAGGAATAGGGTCCAGAGTGTCCTAGACAAATTTGAGGATTGGGCCAAAAGAAATCTGATGAGGTTTAATAAGGACAAATGCAGAGTCCTGCACTTAGTACAGAAGAATCCCATGCACTGCTACAGACTGGGACCGACTGGCTAAGTGGCAGTTCTTCAGAAAAGAACCTGGGGATTACAGTGGATGAAAAGCTGGATATGAGTCAACAGTGTGCCCTTGTTGCCAAGAAGGCTAACGGTATATTGGGCTGCATCAGTAGGAGCATTGCCAGCAGATTGAGGGAAGTGATTATTCCCCTCTGTTTGGCACTGGTGAGGCCACATCTGAAGTATTGTGTCCAGTTTTGTTCCCTCCTCCCCGACAGAAAGGATGTGGACAAATTGGAGAGAGTCCAGTGGAGGGCAACGAAAATTATAAGGGGGCTGGAACACATGACTTATGAGGAGAGGCTGGGGGAACTGGGCTTATTTAGTCTGCAGACGAGAAGAGTGAGGGGGGAATTTGATAGTAGCCTTCAACTACCTAAAGAGGGGTTCCAAAGAGGATGGATCTAAGCTGTTCTCAGTGGTGGCAGGTGATAGAACAAGGAGCAATGGTCTCAAATTGCAGTGAGGGAGGTCTAGGTTGGATATTAGGAAAAAGCTATTTTACTAGGAGGGTTGTGAAGCACTAGAATGGGTTACCTAGGGAGGTGGTGGAATCTCCATCCTTAGAGGTTTTTAAGGCCCATCTTGACAAAGCCCTGATTGGGGTGATTTAGTTGGGGTTACTTTGAGCAGGAGGTTGGACAAGACTGCCTCCTGAGGTCTCTCCCAACCCTAATCTTCTATGATTCTTTGTGAGCTATGACATATCTTTTAAACAGACATTTAGTCTTGACCACATCCCGGGGTAAATTATTCTTCTAGTTAATTACCCTCTCTTAAAATGTTGCACCTTAGTTTTAGTATGACTTTATCTGGTGTGACAAAGTTCCTTTCTCTGCCTTGGTGGGTCCTGCCCTTATTGGCGGATTTGCTTGCTCAGAGGTTCACGGCAGCCCTCAGTTTGGCCACTTTCATGGCTCAAATCTGCCGTTCACTCAGTTAGCCTCATCACTGGCCAGCACAGGGAAAAGGAAGAACAATAATCCCTGCAGTCTCTGCTGATCCACCTAGTGGATCGGGGAACAGGCCAGAGACCTTCCCCTCTGGTGGAATCCACAGTCCAAGTCAACTCCTCCGGGAATCATGTAGGGAGTTGGGGGGAATGAAGGGAACCTGGGCCCGCCCTCGACTCCGGGTTCCAGTCTAGGGCCCTGTTGATTCCAGCTGTCTACAGTGGCTCCTGTAACAGCTGCGCGACAGCTACAACTTCCTGGGCTACTTCCCCATGGCCTCCTCCCAACACCTTCTTTAGTCTCACCACAGGACCTTCCTCCCGATGTCTGATAACCCTTGTACTTCTCAGTCCTCCAGCAGTACGCCTTCTCACTCTCAGCTTCTTGCGCCTCTTGCTCCCAGCTCCTCACATGCACACCACAAACTGAAGTGAGCTCCTTTTTAAACCCAGGTGCGCTGATTAGCCTGCCTGTCTTAATTGATTCTAGCAGCTTCTTGATAGGCTGTACGTGTTCTGATCAGCCTGTCTGCCTTAATTGTTTCCAGAAAGTTCCTGATTGTTCTGGAACCTTCCCTGTTACCTTACCCAGGGAAAAGGGACCTGCTTTCTAATATATCTGCCTTCTATCACTCATCTGGCCCGACCCTATCACACATCCCCCCTCTCTATTCAACACCATGGGGTTGGGCAACTTGGGACATCAGGCAGTGTATCCATAACAAACCATCTGCATTGCCATGGTGGCTTCCAGCCCGGTGTTGTATGGTGAATTGGAAAGGTTGTAGGGACAGAAACCATCTGTAGCAGCCGTGTTAGTCCGTATCCGCAAAAAGAAAAGGAGTACTTGTGGCACCTTAGAGACTAATAAATTTATTTGAGCATAAGCTTTCGTGAGCTACAGCTCACTTCATTGGATGCATGCAGTGGAAAATACAGTGGGGAGATTTATATACATAGAGAACATGAAACAATGGGTGTTACCATACACACTGTAACAAGATATACCTTCAAATCAGCGGCACTGCTATGGGTACCTGCATGGCCCCACAGTATGCCAAAATTTTTATGGCTGACTTACAACAATGCTTCCTCAGCTCTTGTCCCCTAATGCGCCGACTCTACTTGCACTACATTGATATCTTCATCATCTGGACCCATGGAAAAGAAGCCCTTGAGGAATTCCACCATGATTTCAACAATTTCCATCCCACCATCAACCTCAGCCAGGACCAGTCCACACAAGAGATCCGCTTCCTGGACACTACAGTGCTAATAAGCGATGGTTACATAAACACCACCTTATACTGGAAACCTACTTATCACTATGCCTACCTACATGCCTCCAGCTTTCATCCAGACCACACCACACGATCCATTGTCTACAGCCAAGCTCTACAATACAACTGCATTTGCTCCAAACCCTCAGACAGAGACAAACACCTACAAGATCTCTATCAAGCGTTCTTACAACTACAATACCCACCTGCTGAAGTGAGGAAACAGATTGAAAGAGCCAGAAGAGTATCCAGAAGTCACCTACTACAGGACAGGCCCAACAAAGAAAATAACAGAACGCCACTAGCCGTCACCTTCAGCCCCCAACTAAAACCTCCCAAACGCATCATCAAGGATCTACAACCTATTCTGAAGGATGACCCATCACTCTCACAAATCTTGGGAGACAGGCCAGTCATTGCTTATAGACATTCCCCCAACCTGAAGCAAATACTCACCAGCAACCACACAATAAAAACACTAACCCAGGAACCTATCCTTGCAACAAAGCCCATTGCCAACTGTGTCCACATATCTATTCAGGGGACACCATCATAGGGCCTAACCACATCAGCCACACTATCAGAGGCTTGTTCACCGGCACATCCACCAATGTGATATGCCATCATGTGCCAGCAATGCCCCTCTGCCATGTACATTGGCCAAACTGGAAAGTTTCTACATAAAAGAATAAATGGACACAGATCAGATGTCAAGTATTAGAACATTCAAAAACCAGTTGGAGAACACTTCAATCTCTTTGGTCATTCGATTACAGACCTAAAAGTGGCAATTCTTCAATAAAAAAAACTTCAAAAACAGACTCCAACGAGAGACTGCTGAATTGGAATTAATTTGCAAACTGGATACAATTAACTTAGGCTTGAATAAAGACTGGGAGTGGATGTGTCATTACACAAAGTAAAACTATTTCCCCATGTTTATTCCACCCCCGCCCCCCTCACTGTTCCTCACATGTTCTTGTCAACTGCTGGAAATGGCCCACCTTGATTATCACTACAAAAGGTTTTTACCTCCCAGCTCTCCTGCTGGTAATAGCTCACCTTACCTGATCACTCTTGTTACAGTGTGCATAGTAACACCCATTGTTTCATGTTCTCTGTGTATATAAATCTCCCCACTGTATTTTCCACTGCATGCATGTGATGAAGTGAACTGTAGCTCACGAAAGCTTATGCTTAAATAAATTTGTTAGTCTCTAAGGTGCCACAAGTACTCCTTTTCTTTTTGCAGAAACCATCTGGTCACCCTTGCATTCTTCTCTTTATTTCGTTGCATCCACTGGAGGGGTGCATGATCGGTCACAAGGGTAAACCGTCATCCCAGCAGGTAATAACGTAGTTGTAAAGGAGCAGACTCACCCCGCGTCACCTCTTCCTGGTCATCCAGGAATTAGCTCTTTTCCAGCCTGGAGTGCCCTCTGCAAGCCGGCGATCCGCACAGCTCTGGCCTCCATGTCCCTCAGAGACCCCGGTGCCCCTTTCTCTGGGGTTCTGCCCCTGGCAGTACCCCCATACTCTGCTTCTGGGTCTCCCCTTCCTGGGAAACCCCCAACCCACTATCCCCACCTTGCCTCAGTCTGGGCTACCGCCAGTCATCATCAAGCCCCCACTCCCTGGGACAGGCTGCAGTGTAAAGGCCACTCATCGTAGGCAAGGGGGTTCAGACCTGTTGTCTTCCTCTGCCTCCCAGTACTTCTATGGGCCTTGGACCAGGCCTTACAGCCTGGGGAATTGCTAGCCTGGAGCTCTCCCACTCAGCCCGCTCCTTCCCCAGTACTGCACCACCCTCAATACCCTGTCAGGCAGGCAGCCAGGCCCTGCTATCTCCCAGCCTGGAGAGAGACTCCTTGGGCCTGTGGCTCACAGCCTTTTCATACAGGCCAGCTGGGGGCCTGACTGAGGCATGGCCAAGCTGCTTCCCCAGTCAGCCATCCCCAGCCACAGCCCTCTCCAGGGCTGCTTTTAACCCCTTCTATTTTGGGAGCAGGGTAGCCACCCTGCTACACACTCTCCCTCTTAAGCCCACACACTGGGGGGAGAATCCCTAATGCCCCAGCATTGCTCTCAGCTGGGCCCGCAGGGAATCTCTCTCCTTTCGCATGCTCTCCAGTGCAAGGAGCAGCGCGCTCCCTTCCTCCATAGTTTGGGTTCCCATGGTAGCCCTTCCAGCTCCCTTATGGGATCCCACATTTGTCTGGGGCCTCTCTGCCCCTGACAATCCCCTCTTTTGGGCCCTGGCCGTCACCACCCCCTCCTTCGGTGCAGTTTCGGACCTGGCCCGTTCCTCCGGTCTCCCCCTCCTTCTCTGGGGGGTAGGCTGCTTTCCCTGTCTCCCCTTGTGGCAGAGGATGCACAACCAGTGCCCACCCCTGACCACCTCAGGGCTAGCTTGGGTCCTGCGAGTCCCCCGAGGGCACTCCCTCATCATGTGTCCCAGTTCCCTCCAGGCCCAACAAGTCCATGGCCCCTTGTTGACCTCACAAGGGGGGCCTTTTCTGGGTGGGGCCTCCTTCCTCCATCCCAATATGGGCACTCCCTCTTGAAGCGTCCCAGTCACTCACAGGCGAAACAGTCTTTGAGTCAGGTTTCATCGACAAAACAGTGGAGGTGGACACACTACAATGTTCCTTCTACCGACAAAACTCTCCTGCTCTACTGACAAAGAGAGGCATAGAGCTTTTTGCGGCAAAGTTATATCGACAAAGTGTCAGTGTAGACACTGCGTTTGGTTATGTTGCTATAAATGGCTTCCAGGAGATGTCCCACAATGCCCATCCTGACTGCTCTGGTCAGCAGTTCGAACTCTGCTACCCTGGACCTAAGTACACAGGCATCTACCCGTCCCCCTTTAAAGTCCTGGGAATTTTTGAAATTCCACTTCCTATTTGCTTGGCGTGGAGAGCTCACATGGCATCTTCCCAGCTGACTATGGTGGCTCCATGCAGCAAACACTCTCCTGCTTGGAGCACATCTGAGTTGTTGAATCTGCTGGCACTGTGGGGAGAGGAGACTGTGCAGTCCCAGCTCTGCTCCGGCCTTAGGAACTTCAATACCTGCAGGCAGATTTCCCAAGGCTTGTTGGATAAGGGCTACGAAGGGGACATGCAGCAGTGCCAAGTGAAGACAAAGGAGCTGAGGCTGGTGTACCAAAAGCCAAGGGAGGCAAACCCTCACTCTGGTGCGGTACTGAAGACCAGCCACTTCTGTAAGGAGCTGGATGCCATCACTGGCAGCGACCCCAACTCCACTGTGCTGTCTGTAAAGTTCAGGGCACATACTCAGCATGGGGAGCAGCTGACCAGCCCTCTGTGGAGAAAGAAGTGGTTCGGGACTATTTAGAAAAGCTGGACGAGCACAAGTCCATGGGGCCGGATGCGTTGCATCCAAGAGTGCTAAAGGAGTTGGCGGATGTGATTGCAGAGCCATTGCCCATTATCTTTGAAAACTCATGGCGATCGGGGGAAGTCCCGGACGACTGGAAAAAGGCTAATGTAGTGCCCATCTTTAAAAAAGGGAAGAAGGAGGATCCTGGGAACTACAGGCCAGTCAGCCTCACCTCAGTCCCTGGAAAAATCATGGAGCAGGTCCTCAAGGAATCAATTCTGAAGCACTTAGAGGAGAGGAAAGTGATAAGGAACAGTCAGCATGGATTCACCAAGGGCAAGTCATGCCTGACTAATCTAATTGCCTTCTATGATGAGATAATTGGTTCTGTGGATGAAGGGAAAGCAGTGGACGTGTTGTTCCTTGACTTTAGCGAAACTTTTGACACTGTCTCCCACAGTATTCTTGCCAGCAAGTTAAAGAAGTATGGGCTGGATGAATGGACTATAAGGTGGATAGAAAGCTGGCTAGATTGTCAGGCTCAACGGGTAGTGATCAATGGCTCCATGTCTAGTTGGCAGCCGGTATCAAGTGGAGTGCCCTAAGGGTCGGTCCTGGGGCCGGTTTTGTTCAATATCTTCATAAATGATCTGGAGGATGGTGTGGATTGCACCCTCAGCAAATTTGCAGATGACACTAAACAGGGAGGAGAGGTAGATACGCTGGAAGGTAGGGATAGGATACAGAGGGACCTAGAGAAATTGGAGGATTGGGCCAAAAGAAATCTGATGAGGTTCAACAACGACAAGTGCAGAGTCCTGCACTTAGGACTGAAGAATCCAATGCACCGCTACAGACTAGGGACCGAATGGCTCGGCAGCAGTTCTGCAGAAAAGGACCTATGGGTGACAGTGGACGAGAAGCTGGATAGGAGTCAACAGTGTGTCCTTGTTGCCAAGAAGGCCAATGGCATTTTGGGATGTATAAGTAGGGGCATAGCGAGCAGATCGAGGGACGTGATTGTTCCCCTCTATTCGACACTGGTGAGGCCTCATCTGGAGTACTGTGTCCAGTTTTGGGCCCCACACTACAAGAAGAATGTGGAAAAATTGGAAAGAGTTCAGCAGAGGCAACAAAAATGATTAGAGGACTGGAACACATGAGTTATGAGGAGAGGCTGAGGGAACTGGGGATATTTAGTCTATGGAAGAGAAGAATGAGGGGGGATTTGATAGCTGCTTTCAACAACCTGAAAGGGGGTTCCAAAGAGGATGGCTCTAGACTGTTCTCAGTGGTAGCAGATGACAGAACAAGGAGTAATGGTCTCAAGTTGCAGTGGGGGAGATTTAGGTTGGATCTTAGGAAAAACTTTTTCACTCGGAGGGTGGTGAAACACTGGAATGCGTTACCTAGGGAGGTGGTGGAATCTCCTTCCTTAGAAGTTTTTAAGGTCAGGCTTGACAAAGCCCTGGCTGGGATGATTTAATTGGGGATTGGTCCTGCTTTGAGCAGGGGGTTGGACTAGATGACCTCCTGAGGTCCCTTCCAACCCTGATATTCTATGATTCTATGATTCCACTGCCCAGAGCCCCGTGAATACTTTGGAGGGGCTGGAGGCAGCAGACCTAACCCTGAGGAGGAAGTCAAGAATGAGGCGGTCAAGTTGGAGGACAAGGTGGAGCACATGGCGCAGCGAGTCAGGACCTCTTTTCCATTCCAGAGGGATCTAGCCAGTCCCAGCCGTCCATCTCCGGCATGCATGATGCAGGAGAGGAGAGCCCTGGTAAGTGATCTTTTTGAGTTGATGCTGCTCAGTTATATGAGGTAGAGCTGTCCTTTGCTTTATATATTCTAGAGGTGGGTAAAGGGATAGAAATGTACACGACCAGTTGTGTTTGTATGTGCTTCACATTCCCCTGTGCAGCTAAGCAGTGCAGTGGAACAGTGTGTTGATGCACACCGAAATTTCATGGGAATCCTCCAGAGAGATCTCTAGGAAACTTTCCTGGAGGTACTCGCCAATCCTGTGCCGAAGGTTCCTTAGCAGAGCTGCTATGTTCCTTCCCCTGTTGTAGGAAACTTTTCTGCACCAATCAGCAATCACTTGTGCAGGAACCAAAGCAGCACACAGGCGAGCAAACATAGGGACTGGGTCTGAAGCTGCATGCATGCAGGAGATGCACCCTTGCATCCTTGCTTACCCTCAAAAGAAAGATATCGGCTTCAATATCCCCACCTGCGGAAAATGGCGGCAGAATTTACAATATTATCCCTACTCGCCTGCATTGATCCCCTTAAAAAAACCCACTTAGACCCTTTGCCCCATCTTGAATGCCCAGCCCCCACCCCGGCCTGAACTCACCAGCGTGCTTTTAATCTGCCCAAGGCACATTCCGCAGTCATTCTGCACCTGCTCAGCCTATTGTTGGAGCATTCCTTGCTGCTGTCCAGGTTTCCTGTGTAAGACTTCATGAGCCATGGAAGTAAGGGTACTCTAGGTCTCCCAGGATCACTGTGGGCATTTCAACATCCTCCACTGGAATCTTCTGGTTTGGAAAGAAAGTTCCTGCTTGGAACTTTCTGTCCAGGCCAGTGTTCCTGAAGATGCATGCGTCATGCACCTTCCCTGACCACCCTGCATTGATGTGTCAGTGAAATGCCCATGGTATCTACAAGCACCTGCAAGAGCATGGAGAAGTACCCCTTTCTAGTGATGTACTCCATCACAGATGGTCTGGGGCCAAAACTGGAATATGCATGCCATCTATCGCCCCTCCACAGTTAAGGAATCCCATTGCGGCAAAGCCATCCACTGTTTCACACACACTGCCAAGAGTCAGAGACCTTCGTAACAGGATGCAATTAGTGGCACTGCACGCTTGCATTAACACAGCCCCAGCAGTGGACTTCCTGACTCTAAACTGATTCACGACCAACTGGCAGCAGTCTGGTGTTGCCAACTTCCACACAGCAATCGCCATGCATTTCTCACTTAGAGGGCAGCTTTCATTTTGGTGTCCTTGCCCCGGGTGCTGGAGTGAGCTTCGCACAGAGTACCAGGAAGGTGGCTTTCTGCATCCGAAAGCTCTGCAGCCACTGCTTGTCATCCAGACCTGCATAACAATGCAATCCCACCACTCACTGCTTGTTTCCCAAGCCCAAAAGCAATGGTCCACCTGTGTAGCTGCTCCATGAATGCCAAAAGTAATCTGGTGTTTTCTTTCCACAGCACACAGCAGGTCAGGCAACTCTGATTCCTGTTCAGCTTGGATGCTCATGATATACTGCATGACCAGCCGCCATGTTTTCATAACAGTGACAACAACAGAGTTGTGCAGGATCCATTCTTTCAGACAGAGATGGCGGGCGCACAGTAAACAGGGGCCTTTGAAAAATGCCACAAAATGCAGTCAGAAGCCAATGGAATGCTGGGATAGAAAGAACTGCATCATGGGACATTGAGCTCGCACCCTGATGCACTGCGATCCACTCCACCTTCCCACAACTCCTAGCTGCAGAAAGTAGCAAGTAGAACAGTGGGATAGCTGTCCACCATGCATTGCTCTCACTGTCAGTGCTAGAGCACCAAGCTTGGACATGCTCTGCTGACAGAAGGAGCATAGTGTGAACACGCACAAGCGATGTAATTATACCAGTTTTTGACTGTCGACTTAACTTCCGTTGACAAAACTTTGTAGTCTAGACAAGGTCTTAGATTAAAGAGCCATCTACTATCAGAAATCTCTTCCCCGTGCAGGTACTTGTAGACCATGACCAAATCACCTCTTAACTTCCTGTTGGATAAATTAAATAGACTGAGCTTTTTTAGCCTTTCACTATAATATATGTTTTCCAGACCTCAAACTATTCTTGTAGCTCTCTTCTGAACCTTTTGCAATTAGGTAAAGCCTGCCACAATGTGCATGGAGCCTCGCGTAAGAAATAGTTCTTCCTCAAAGCCCACCAAGGCATCAAAGAAGGAATTTACTTTAAATGGCATAGGCCTAATAATAATTATATTTTACTCTTAGTTTTTATTTATTTAAACACAAAAGCAGTGTTGATGCCATGTGCTGACACAACCATCATCATCATACTTTGCATAAACTGTTCATTCAGGGAATAATGAATGCACAGATATTGTGGCCAGAGGACTGTCTGAGAGGAATGGAGACAGTCTTCTTGCTGGCCAGAGCTGGAAGAAGGTGTTTTTGGTGACAGCTCCTGCCTGATTGTCAAATATTAGTAATGAGTCCAGTATGGCGCCCAAGCTATCCCACTACCTTCACTACCAGAGGGCAGGCACATTTGATTGACAGCAAGATGTTGATTCTCACCAGTTCCTCAAACCATTTCCCACTTCCAGCTACCATCGCTAGTCTGCCCAAGAGCAGACAGTCTGATGCAATTCACAGTACTTCCTGCCAGGCAGGCAAAGCCACAGGAATGGACTCTTTTGCATTTTCTCTGCAGGTCCAATTCCAGCCTTACCCACAGGCTGGAGGGGGGAGAAGCCTGCAAAAAGGGCAAATAAGGAGGGAAATTAAGTTAAGTTGAACCACACATTTCAGAATGGCTATAAAGGTTCAGTTCTGGTTTGGATCTAGAGATGGGTGGAAGTTTGGGGAAAGTCTGACATTTTCCAGACCTGTTCGCCCATCCCTACTTTTTATGCATGTTGTTCTCCACAAACACTCATGTACCCTTTCTCTTTGTCAGAACCTGAAAGCACAGCCCTGGATTCCATACGTGAACCCCCACAGATAAACATCATAAAGCATCAGGTGAAATATGGCTGCATCAGCCTTCCTCTTTATTATGCTCATTCCGCTAGGGGACATAATCAGAATCTCTCCTTAAGTGTTTTTTTTTTTTTCAGAGCTGGTTAACTTTTTCCTTTTTGTGGGTAGGGGATTTACAGGGCCAGATTGAGCTCTCATAGTCATCAGTGTAAATCTGGAACAACTCCTGTGGTTTCCAGGGAGTCGATCCAGATTTACACTGGCGTAACAGAGTTGGGAATCTAGTTCAGTGTGGTTTCAGAGTAGCAGCTGTGTTAGTCTGTATTCGCAAAAAGAAAAGGAGTACTTGTGGCACCTTAGAGACTAACCAATTTATTTGAGCATAAGCTTTCGTGAGCTACAGCTTATGCTCAAATAAATTGGTTAGTCTCTAAGGTGCCATAAGTACTTCTTTTCTTTTAGTTCAGTGTGGTTGATTTTGCTAGGAAACGAAGAGATGATTGAGAACAAAAAATCTACGAAGGTTGGAAACGTCTGACAGAAAATGGATCCAGGCTGAAGTCTCAAAAGTTTTAGTTTTTGCATTTATTCATTAAAAGGACTTTGCCAAATCCCATGTATCATAATGTTGGGTCACATTCGGAAGGCCTCACTCAGTCCTTACTGTTCGGTGAGATGTTTGCCTGAGTAAGTACTAAGCTGGGACTGCAGGAGTTGGGCCAACACTGCCCTCGCCCCCCACCCATTCTACCCTTCCCAACGTTTATATATCTTAAACACCAGTCCTGCAAAGACTGTTTGCTTGCTTAACTTCATGCACTGTGAACAGTCCCATTTAAGTCAATGGGATCATTCACAATATGGAATGTTAAGTGCATGTGTAAGTCTTTGAAGGATGGAGCATTAAATCTATAGTCTTTAGGTCTGTCTTCACTACATAGTTAGCCTAGGTGATGGGCATCTAGATCTGAGCCCCCAAGTTAGCCTAGCCCAGGTGTGTGTCTCCCTACTGTGAAGCCCTACCAGATTTATTATGTTCTTTCTGCTGTCTGTTTTTTCTGCTTTCACCCATGTTTGTCTGGGGGCACATCCCTATGTCACTGGGACCTACATGTACCACAACCACCAACTCCTCCCCAACCCTGCACATAAGCCTGTCTTGATGCTTGTGAGATCCACAACCTTCACTCTCAGCAAGCAATTCACCATGTGGATGTCCTGGTCATCACAAATCCAACTATCTATATTTCTAATAATTGAATTCCCCATTATTATTACCTGGTTCTCCCTAGTCACTAGGTTCCCTCCCAAGGAGGGGTATTCTCAGTGTGAGAGAATATCATGACATTATCTGGAAGGAGGGCCCCAACAATGGGATTGTTTCCCTCTGCTCCAGCTTCAAGTTCTCCTGCCCCAAGACTTTCATCCTCCTTAGCAGGAAAGAGACTGTCAGACTGGGGGTGGGACCCTCTACTGTGTCCCTGAAAGTCTCTTCCATGTACATCTCTGTCTCCCTTAGCCCCTCCAGTTCAGCCACTCTGGCCTCAAGAGCCCGTACTGTGTTTCTGAGGGCCATGACGTGCTTGCACTGTATGCACACATCTGCCATGTGGACACAAAGCTGGTAATTATACATGCTGCATTCAGTGCAACAAACTGGATAGTCCCCGCTCTGCTGCTGGACTTCTGCCTGCATTATTTTGACTCTTGCAGAGTTTTTTGTTTGGTTTCTTTGGGGAGAAAAGGGGTGGTCATTGGCCTAAGTAAATTTTAGAGTTTGTTTGTAAGGTGGGTCTGCCTCTCAGACTCCCTCGCAAAACTCAGGTCTGCTGCTCCTGTTCGCTCCTCTGGTTGCGTAGGAGCTGGCTATTTAAACCTCTGTTCTCCCTGAGTTAGCCCTGCCCTCTTATCAAAGAATCCTACAGGAATTAGGGATCAAAGGATAGCAGACCAGAGCCTCTCAGTTTAGCCCAGCAGGCCGCTTGGCTCAGCAGATAGCTCCAAAACAGACCACACTATAATCTTCAAGCAGGCAAGGAAACAAACAAGACCACTTCACCCCAAGGATCATGTAGTCCCTCCTCCTTCCCCTGGAGAACTCCTGCACCAATCTCCCATTTGCTGCTCCTGTTCACTAAGTCAAATTAGTTTTAGCAAGACATCAAAAACTGGGCAGGCACCAGAAGACTGGAGAACAGCTAGTGCAATACTAATCTTCAAAAAGGAGAGCAGCAGCAATCCTGGCAATCTTTGCCTTGCAAGTTTAATGTAATGGGACACATACTAAATGAAGAAAACAATTAAGTATCTAAAAAGGTGCCATGATGAGCAAAAAATAGAAGGGGCTTATAAACAAAGATGATTTTGCCAGATAAATTTGATTATATATTCCTAGAATTATCAATAATTAGGAAGAACAGGAAGTGGTAGCTGAATGTACTCAGATAGTAGTAAAGCACTAGATGCATACATTAATCCAAATGAATTTATGTAGAGACATCATCAAATGAGTTGAACAGTAAACAGCCAAGTGTCAAATTGCAGGGAGATAGCCCAAGAATTGGTGCTAGCTCATGCTTTATTTCCCACAGTTCATTAACGATCTAGAAAAGGAAACAGGCAACATGATTATTAAATTCTCAAATGATACTATATAGGGAGGAGATACAAAAATCAGCAAGGACAGAAACTTAGAGAGAAAAATGACAAAAATGAGACAACTTGAAAAATGCAGACTAATATGCCTGAGGGGAAATAATCCCAGATAAAGATATTCAATGGCAGGATGAAACCAGGAATGCAGCTGTGCTGAGCATACAGGAAATTAGATATGAGTTTGCAATTTGTCACAGCAAAAGGCCCACAATTTTGGGCTGTGCATCATACCCCAAAGCAGGGAGATAAGAGATGTTCTCTATGGATCGTGGGTGATTAGACCTGGAATATTGTATTCAGTTCTGAACCCCTCATTATCAGAATGACTGACAAACTGGAGGGAGTTCAGAGAATGATTGCAGGCTGAAAATATTGACTTACAAGGAAAGAAAAAAGGAGCTGAATATGTACAGATTTTTTCTAAGAGATAACTAAGGCTTGAACACCTAAAAAGTTTTAATTGTATAATTATGTCAGTAAGGGGTGCGATTTTTTTTAACGGACATAGTTATGCTGGAAAAAGGCTTAGCATAGATGCAGTTAAGGGACTTTATACCACTATAGCTTTTTTCCTTTCACCAAACCAGAGTAAGCTATACAAGAATAAGCCCTTTTATACAGCTGTAGCTGTGTCTGTACAAGGGGAGAGGGTAGGGTTGCCAATTTTAGTTGGACATATTTCTGGAGGTTTCATCAAATGACATAATCTTTAATTCCTGGAGACTCCTGGACAATCCTGGAGGGTTGGCAACTCTAGGAGAGGGTTGCCATCTTAATTATGCTGGCGTAGTTCAAGTGGCCCAACTTTTAAGTGCAGACAGAAGGCCTAAATGGGAATGTAACAGTCTAAACAGGGGTATAATTAAGAATAACAGGGTGAAATCAGGAAAATGTAGGCTAATAATGTCAAAACAGACTTCCTGACAGTGAACTATGGAACAATCTCCAAGGAAGCAGTAGAAGTCTCAGAGTGACTTTGGGAGATTTAAAACTAGAAGAGACAAAACATTAGGAAGTGTACCATAGAGAACAATCCTGCACTGATGCAGGGAAAGGATCAAGATGGCCTGGTAGGCCTTTGCCATCTCTCATGTCTATGGTACACTAAACAGACCCACACAATAAGACAAAACATTCTACCCACACCCAAATGACTTAAAATTTAGCTGAAGTCCTTGGCCTATAAGTGAATAAATGCACTAGTTACTTGTTTACCGTCACAATCTAGTGCT